AATTGATCCAGATATGACACCTGTGTCTATTTTGCAATTGTCTTAGAACTCTGAAAGGAGGGGGCACATCACTAATTGGAACTTTCAAAACAACACACCTGTTCCAATAAAGGTGGTTTTATTCTTTAGTCAGTTGTACTGTATAAGTGGGGGGAAGGGAGAAGAGAGAGAGACTGATATATATATATACAGATAGAGGCCTGGTGCATGAAATTCGTACATGGCAGCAGGGGGTGGGGGGGAGGCCCTTTAGCCCAGCCTGCACCCTCTGCAATCCGGGACCCCTGGGGGGATGTTTGACTGTTGGTTTAGGCCCCATCCTGCCAGCAGTTGGACATCCCTCTCGCAATCCAGGACTGCTGGCTCCTAACCGCTGGCCTGCCTGCCTGATCGCCCCTAACCCCTCTGCTTGACAGCCTGATTGCCCCCTAACTGCCCACCTGCTGGCCTGGTTGCCCCCTAACTGCCCCCCTGCCGCCTGGTCACCCCCTAACTGCCCCCCTGCTGGCCTGGTTGCCCCCTAAGTGCCCCCCTGGTTGCCCCCTAACTGTCCAGAAGGAAATCAGATGTCTGGAAGATGTCCAGTCAACTTGGTCTAATGAGCATATTACCCTTTTATTGGTATGGATAACCAGGATGTTAAATGATTCTCTGATTGTGCTAGCTCTGTAGTTTAAAACTTAACAAAAATAAAATGAAGGAATGAATAGCATCATTTCTAAGCTCTTGGCTAATAAAACAAAACAATAAATTTTCTAATTACGTTGATCAGAATAACCATTAATTCTTGTTTTAAATGCTTTTGGGAATTTATCTTGTTATATATTTTTTCTTTAGGTTATAGTTTATAAGATTTTTGGATTTCATGTATCAGTTTCCCAGGTGAATTTTTGATAATGGAATGCATTTATTTCTATTAATTCGTAGACTGTGTGTGTGTGTGTGGCTTGGAAAAGGATGTAGAGGCTAAATTACTCAAGATCTTAACTAGTAATAATAACTAGCACTTACTGGTAACACTGTTGCAAGTAATTTTAATATAACATGTTTATTTTTCAAAACAAACCTAAGAAGGTACACCATTATGATCACTTAATATACAAGGAAAACTAGACACAGAGGCTAGTGACCTTTCTAAGTTCCCAGACTTAGTGAGTAACACAACTGAGATCTGAGCTTCAGCCAATTTTCCATAAAAAGTATGGTCCATGTGCAGTATTATCAGCATCATCTGGGAGCTTATTACAAATGTAAAAACACAGGTGCCAACACAACCCAGATCTACAGAACTTGCATTTTTATAAAGACCCAGAGCTGGTTCCTGAGCACCTTCAAGGTAGAAGAGATGGGCTATATAATTCACTGTGCTACTTCTCCTTAACCTGGAGAAGGAATCTGGTTATTATTGGAAGGCCTGTAGAGTCAGGGAAATGTTTGAAGCAAGAGATTGGCAAAATCAAGTGTTTTTAGACCAGTTGTTTTAGGTCAATCACTCTGGCTTCAATATGCGGAATGCAGAAGAGGGCAATAATGGATGCAGGGAGGCCAGTGAAAAGCTACTCTTAGACAAGTAAAGGAAGATGGCAGCCTGAAAGAGGGCGGTGGCAGTGACAAAGGAAAAAAGTAGGTGAATGTACAAGGGTCCCTCGCAGAACTTAGAGATTCTTTGGATATATGATTGAGGGAGAAGAGTTAGTTCACCACAAGTTTCTGGTTGCATCGTGGTACCATTTACTATACAAGAATATACTTGAAAGAAGTAGGGTGGGGAATAGGAGAAGGAAATAATGAAATTACTTTTATATTTAAAAAATGGTAACATTTGAGAAGACTGAGGGACAGCCAAGTAGAGCTGTTCAGCTGGGAGCTAAAGAGATGGGGCAGAGAAACCATATAAGTTACTTGGGCATTTTGGAAGGGGTCCTATGGCAAATTCCGTGTCAAAAATTTTACCTGGCCCAGCCAGGGTAGCTGGGTTGAGTGTCTACCTATAAATCAGAAGAAGGTCACGGTTTAATTCCCAGTAAGGGCATACGCCTGGGTTATGGGCTCGATCCCCAGTGTGAGGCCAATACCCAGTGTTAGACATGCAAGAGGTAGCTGATCAATGATTCTCTCTCATCATTGATGTTTCTATCTCTCTCTCCCGCTCCCTTCCTCTCTGAAATCAATAAAAGCATTTACCTGGTTTGTCTCTGATATTCCCCCTCCCTGCCCCCTTCCTCATTATATTCACTGGTGTCCAAACCTGCTCTGAGCAGTCCTGTACTCAGCAGAGTTAGATCTGTAGCTCAGAAAAGACAGAGACAAAACTTTTGGATTCATAAGCATATGGAATGGATGATAAGTGAAGCAAACCAATTGCCAAGAAAGAGAAAGGGAGTCTGGAGAGTAGGGGAGAAGGGGACTCTGCAAAACAGACTGAGAATAGTGGTCCAAGAGGTAGAGGAAACCTGGGAGTTTGTTATCATGGGAATCCTGGGTAAAGTGTGTTTCCAGATGGGGAAAGTAGAGAATAGGGTAAAATGCTTTTGAGACACCAAGTTGATAGAGAATGAGAAATGGCTGCAGGACTTAGCAATGCACTAGTAATTGATGACCTCAATGAGCACCGAGGGAAACTGATGAGGACTAAAACCAGAGTGCAGTAGATTGAGACATGTAGGCTGAGGAAGGGGAGGTTCTTCAAGAGATTCATCCATGAGGCTGAGGAATGAGGGTCACTGGAGCTCAATAATGGAGATGCTTTTCAAGATAGGAAATTTTGAACATGGTTAAATGCTGATGGAAGGAGATAATACAGAAGGAAAAATGAGAGACTGTGATCCCTGAAGTGGAGGGTATAAGATAATGGGCATTTGTTTAGATCTTCCCTTCTGTCTTCCAAACCACTATTAGGTGGGCACAGGGATTCAGGAGGATGGCCAGAGAAACAGGGAGATCTGCTGCAGCCATCCTTTCCACATTCTGGGGTCTTTAGAGGCTTAACACTCTCACCTTCCATTCTAAGCCTTGTTTTGCTACTTGAATTTTCCACTGTTCTTCCCATGACATGCCCAGAACAAGGGTAACCATGATTTAGATCAGGACCTGCTTTGAAAGTTAACCTTTGAACTTCATCTTCAGCTATAATTCTTGCCTAAACCTTACCTGTCCTCAGGTGAGGAAAGTTTAGAGAAACAGCTTAGGCATATACTCCCTCCCCAGGCCTTTTGGCAAGTTGGTGAACCCACTGCCCCAGAATGTTTGAAGCTGAGTTGTATGGCTTCATGGAGAATAGTGGTTCATGATAAGGATGGCAGAGAATACTCAAGGACAGATTTCGGGAGTCTCTCAATGCCAGAAATGCCACTGAAATATCTATTTGCAATGGACTTTTCTGAGAAGAGGGTCCATTGATCCTATTGAGATCTATAATCCCAAAGATGTGGGGGTAGATAAAATGCTCAAGCTCATCATTTTGGAGGGATTCAAGCTGATCATTTTGGAGGGATTCAAGATATTATGGCAGGAAGAGGTTTCTTCCCTTCCCCCTCTTCCCCTCCTCCAGCCCTCTCAGGGTACCAAAAGGTACAGAAAAATGATGACAATCAGACAGGAAAAAGACAATTTACAAGAACATGGAAATGCAAGATTGTTTAACTGACATCTGACTCAGAGCTTCCCATGCGAACCCAAGTATTTGGTTTTCAATTTTAAAGAGATCATGTTTCCTAGATTGAAAACAAATCAAGGTTTCTCTAACATATTCTAGAAAACCATTTATTTTCAATATTATATAGTAAAAAATTATTGGGCTTGTCTAAGGAACCCAAATTAATCCAGCTTTACTCAAAATGTTGTTGGCAAGTATAATAAAAATAAGAAGAAAACTTGTCAGTGAGGTGATGTTACATTAAAGCACAAGTCTCTGCTCTTGTTTAGGTAGAACGGCCCCAGAATTGGCAACTAATGATAACATGTGGGAATAAATAGAGCAAGTGTAGAAAACAGACATCAGCGTTTACCTTTTCCATCAAGCAATTTGGATTCTGGATTTAGGCATAAATCACAATAAATATGTTAAGAACTCTCTTGTATGACATATGTTTGCAATATTTGTGTTGTATTTTAATCCATATACTTTGCTAATAAAAATGCTAGAATGCCATATTATGGATGTGAAATGAAGACTAAAATGACTTAAGGGTTTTTTTTACACATTTTACTTATGAGAATTATGCATTTTATTAATGATTTTTTTCTTTTAGTTTTCACAATCCTGAAACCCAAATTGACAACTGAGAAGCTGCATTTGGTTTTCAAATGGATGACAGACATGAAAGAGGGTCTGACTAAAATAGTGGAGGAAGCATAAACATGGGATACATGCTTTTGCTTAAGTAACGCTATCTCAGTTTCAAGAAGCAATGCTTTAGATACATGAAGCATATTATATATGTGTGGGCTAGACACACAGACATTTTAATTTAATCTTAGAACACCTAAAATTAGGAATTGTCTCTATGCCTGTTACTGGAAAGTAGGCAGATTTTTCTTGAAAATAGGAATCGCACTTAAAATATGTAAAGGACTTCAAAGTGTGCTCTGGACATATAAATCCACCATAAACCTCAGTGATAAAATTAGTCATTCAAATAAATGAAGTCAAATGAAACCGCCACCCCTCTATGACAATGAAACTATGCCTCGTGAATAAAGACTATTTTCAGAACTCAGGAGGCAGCTCCAAAGAGTTAGCTGGACACTATGTTGCTTCCACATGCATATCATCAAAATGAGAAATCTGAACAGCTCAGCATATAAAGTTTGATAACTGTTGGCTCAAATGGCTTTTAAAAAGTTTCTAAGAAACTTCAAGATCTATACTTACCTGCCAAGTATAAGTTTTCTCTTATGCAGTCACTAGAAAGTTTATAGGAATTTCTTGTACTTAAGAAGCCAAAACACCACATAAAAAAACATGTAGGAAACATTAAGGGAAAGAAAACAAAACTTACTTTCTCTTAAAGCTGCTTCTTCCTGTAATTTAAACAGTATGAAAGGAGACAATAAGATGACTGTTTTTCTTCCAGCGCATTCATAGGTCAACTCCAAAAGGAACAGAACGAGTCACCAGAGCTATCTGAGTGTCCCTCCCAACTGCAGCTTTTTCAACTTTGTAGAAGAAAATGGGAGGGTTAAATGGGTTTCCTCCAAGTCTGGTGACGTGCACATAGCTAACTCCTACTGGGCTGCAAAAGCATTCCTTGTCAATTTTTACTTAAAATTACGAGTAACAAGTTCTGTGCAGGACATCCTTAAAGGGCAAACCTGGATTCCTATGTGAAGTAGGATCTGAATAAGCTCCAACAAGTTTAAATTACAAACCACACTTACACCCTCAAGAAATTCTCACTGCCTAGGCTAAATTAAGGGCACATTCACATTTTTAAAATTTCTAAAAGGATAATGTATTTTCTGTTTCTTTGATTAACCTGTTTTGTTGGTTCTCTTTTCTGGTGACTAACAGAACCCTTGTTTTACATCAGAAATGGCTGAACCACAGAGCTTTCTTGTTCTTACCTGAAGAGTTGGTAACTTGAGATGAGCCTTTCGTTGTGGCCTCTATCACTGTCTGCTTGGGAAATCTGGGAACTCCAAGCCTTGAATTTGATAGAGTAACTCAAGGTTGTTACCTGCTTCCTGCACCTGCAGCGTGGACTGAGCTTTCCCTGTTTCTGCCTATGTCCCTATGAGCTGGCAGCGATTGTTATGTCATGTCCATTTAAGCACAGGCTCATTTGGCTTTTTGAAATCTTCAATTGAAAACATGAAAAGTGGCAAGAAATTTCAAGAACTGAATTTAAAGAAATGTTTGAATATTGAAGTAATCCATAACAGGAATTCTTAGTGTGTCAAACTGACTCACAAAACAAGTGGCATTTGCTCCTAGAATCTCCATTGGAGGCCATTTCTTTGGTTTGCAAGGTGGGGTAAGAAATATTCTGCCTTAATTACATTTATTCCCAGACCAAACTTAAACTGTCCTTGTTCTAAGTGCTAAAGGAATGATGTTAATTTTCCTGAGGTCAAACTCAGGTATGTACAAAAAAAAAAAAAAAAAAATTAAAAAAAATCTTGAGCTAGGGAAAGGACACAAGAGCATTCAATTAGTAATAGATTTTAATCCTCGTGATACTACTAACCAGGCATTATTTTTCTCCTTTCATAAATGAGGAAGTGGAGTCTGGGATATAAAAAATGCCTAAGTCCCCATCTAGTTATGGGGCCATTATTCTCTTTGTTTATACTATGCTTCCTGAGAGGGTACATTCATTGATTCAACTTCTGATCTTCCTGTTGCTCCTCAAGCTATTGCAATCTATCTTCCAATTGAACCACTTCACAAAAAAATGCTTCATTAAGCTCATAAATGGTATTAACACCCCAAAGAGCACTGTTTTTCATCTTGCCAGAAATTTCTCATCTCTGGCTATGTTTATTTCTTTTTGAAATTCTCTTCCTTTGGTTTACTAAGTTATATATTTTTTTTATTTCCTTCTAGCTCTTAGATACTCAGGCTCCTCCCCCTTTATTCACCTCATCATTCAACCTCAGTTCAGAATGCTTCTTTGTACACCCTCCATGGGTTGTGACAACAACAAACAATTATGTATTATGACTCCCAAACTGTTATTACTCTCTGTTCTCAACTGTTACCTCTCAAAGATTCTAGGCCTATATCCTGTTATCTATTGGACATCTTTGTTTAGAGATTCCCAGGCATCTCAAACTCAGTCCCAGATAAACCCCTTCGCTGAAATCTAGCTCAATGAAAAGGCTTACTAAGGTAAAATGGTTCATGAATGGCAGTTTCAAGGAATGAAGGACACTGAGGACTATGAAACTATTTTTATATAAGAGGAATATAGTAAACTACTTTAAAAATGTTCAGAATAATAGTTAAAAATGTACATATAATATATGCATTAATTAAACTAGTAATACTGAAAATATTAGAAGCTTCAAAATACCATATTTAATAGAAACAACAGGCAACTTTATTTTAAATAAGATTCTTAAATTCCCATGAAGATCATAGTAAACATTTAACAATTTAATTTTATTAACAAATTAGATTTTTACATTAAAAAGTCAGCCATATAATTTATTTACAAAAACAAAGCTGTTCTTATTTACTATGAAAAAATAAGAACTATTTTGAAAAATGAAAAATATTTGATGCCAACAAAATAAGAATAATTTTTTTATTTGCTTCATTTTATCTTTTATTTTCAAAAATTAAGGTATTTTATTTTCACAAACTATTCTCTAGTTTGACAAAAACAAAGATTACTTTGGTATCTGCTGAAACATAAATGATAAAGTTCTTAAGCAAAGACTGAATAAAAAATTATGTTGGGAGTTCAATATTTTGAAAGCCGAATAAGCACATAAAACTAACTGGAGTTGGTGGTGAGAGAATTTTCATTTTTCTGAAAATACATTAATAAAAAAATGCCAATGGAAAAACATTTTAAAATTTACATTACATTCCTATCAACTTTAATAATAGTCTGTAAATATATAATTCCTTTTACTCCGTTACTAACACTTCGTCTAGAATTAGAGTAGAGGTAGGCAGACTGATCTTTGTATTCAAACATTTTAAAACACAGAGTTTTAAATGCCACACAAGGAGTTATATACAACAGTATTTTTTAATATTTGAGATTTAATTTACTATTATATTCAAAATAAATTCCTTTTGATATATAACAAATTGTTGCTTAGATTGAAATGATTACTCCAAGGAACTATTTTAGTTTTAATTAGCTTGGTTAATTTAATTAGTTTTAACTACTATTAATCTTTAGAAAAACAAGAATACCTAGTTCTTTATAAGGGTTTTTATTTTTATTTTTTAAAAAGCTTGCAATGATGTAAATACACTTAGAAATCTCTCCACACAAAGCATTAGTTGCTAGAGTGACTACTGATTAAAGAAATGACACTTAGAAATGCAAAATGGATTAATGCCAAATGGAAAAAATATTTGCATAACACTTTTAGTTATTCCATTGGTAACTTATGACATACCTATTAGCAACAAATTTTATTCTTTCTTACTTTTGTTAGCATCTTGTTTTAGAATAGAACACAGGAACACATGGGTCACTTAGATGTTCTTCCGCTATAAAAGCATCTCTAAAGATTCCAACCGCATAACAGTTCACTCCTGTGGGAAGATGGAAGAACCTCTATCTGCCAGAAATAAGAGCAAGGGCTCAGCAATAAAAAAATATTTTGCAAATTTCTGTTATTTTTGAAGCATTTTATATTGACTTTAAAATAGACAATTTTCATTTTTGACAGCAGAGGGATATTTTTCTTTTTAAAAAAACATGACCACATTTTAAATTTTTGCCTATAATGTAAAAATATGATGTCACTAGAAATATAACACAACAAATGAGCCCTTTCCTAGAAATGAAAGACATCAGAAAATTTATTCTTCATTTAGTACACGGAAAGAAAATAAATGTATAATTTTTAGAGTTATAATGTCTAAAGAAATCTTCCATGGAGAACTCAATTTACAAAAATTCACATTTTTATAAAATTTACAATGAATACAACAGTACTGTTTTAACTAAATTGTGGGCTAATGGGAGATTGGAGATTGTGAAATAAACATTATTTATAACTCAGCAATAATTTTGGGGAAAAACGTTTACTACATGGCAAAAGTAAATTAAGTTCATTACTCTTCTGTCATAGATGATTTCCTGGATTTGAGAACAAGGTCTTTAATGGATGAAGAAAGTTCTTGAAGCTCTTTCCGAGTAGTACTGGTGCTATCTTCTTCTTCACTGTCTAATTCATTACTCAAGGGATCCTCTTCCTGCCCAGTCTTCTTATTTTGATGAACTAAATGCCTTACAACCAATCCTTGATACTTTACCAAAAGTGTATGCTGGTCCTGTGAAAAGAGAAAGAAGAAAAGTTAACAAACATGATTTAATTTTTGTGGAACAAAGTAGGATTTGTTCAACCAAAACACACTGAAGGTCTTCATCTTTACAAATCCCTGGCCATGTAAATAGAAAGCTGAATGTATCAAGGTCCTTGCTCTCAAGGAGTTTACATTTTAGGAGACAGAAAACATGAATGCAGGTTATTTTAATAGTTGACTTGGCTTGTTTCTATCACCAAAGATATAGTCAAAGTGATATGGAAGTTCAAAGAAGCCAAAATTACTTTTAGTTGAGGAGTTTCTCAGAAGAATTTATGCAGAATTTATGAAGAATTTTAAGGGGCCCTTGAAGGGCAGGTTAAACCTGAATAAGCTGAAATGAAAGACTGAACATTATTGTGTCTTTTCCAAAAGCTTAATTTCCAAATTTAGAATATTCTTTACCATGGATCAGATAGGATCCTAAAAGAGTATCCTTAAAATCAATCTCCTAATTCATTGTTTGCATTTGTGGAAACAGGAAGATGATGTTATATATCTTGGTGTTTACAATGATTCACATCTATCCATTAAAAATATTTGCAACATAAAAGCTTTAATAGTTCCAAGTGCATTGAAAATGTAATACCTCTGGAATTTTACTCTTAAGAAGAGCGATGATCTGGGGGACACATCTTCCAGGTGCATGGAGCATGCTGTGGGTTGAGGACTGAAACAACAGGACTGATGTGAGGTGCAGGATAAGAGCAGGGTCTTCTGTGACTTTTAGCTGTTCAGCCAGTGCTTGTCGATGCTGGAACAGAATCTGCCTAAACAAAAATAAAAACACACAAATTCTCACCAATTTCAGTTCTTCCCTTCTGTATTCATTTTTAACTTCTCTAATTTAATTATCTAGTTATATAAATATTTTAAGGGACCTTTTAAATATGTTTCAGATACTCATAATTCTAAAAGGCATGAATAAACTAATGTGCTAGAAAAAGATAGAAAAAAAAAACAATATAGCAGGGACATTCAAAGTATGCCTTTTGAGTTGTAGGGGATTAAACAGAAGAGCACTGATTTAAACAGGTTTCCTGTAAAGAAAGTCACAAAGCTAATAAAAAGTTGCCAGGCTTGATCAACTATGGGATTAGACAATTCTGCTACCTTATCAAGATGAGTCAGGGAGGAAAACTGAATTTTATTAAGATCAAAATGCTTCAAGGTATACAACAATTTAGACACAACAGTTCTCAATGCAAGATTCAGATAGTCAAATTCCAATTTCAGATATAACACATCTAAGAATCCTATATAATAAAAGCCTAATATGCTAAGTGTCCGGTCATTTGGTGACTGGTCAACTGTTCAACCAATCAAAGCGTAATATGCTAATGTTATGCTAAGGCCACTCAACCACTGCATATGACATGCACTGACCACCAGGGGGCAGACGCTCCAACCGATAGGATAGCTTGCTGCTGGGGTCTGGCTGATTGGGACTGGGTGAGACGGGGCTGGACATGCTCTGGAGCCCTCCTGTGGCCCCTCCCCGGCCCCGATTGTGCACGAGCAGGGTCCCTTGGCCTGGCCTGCACCCTCTTGCAATCTGGGACCCCTTGGGGGATGTCAGAGAGCCAGTTTTGGCCTGATCCCACAGGTCACTCCCCTCGGGAGGGTGTCAGATGCAGGGCTCATGGCTGGTGAGTGCTGCTGCGGCGGTGTGAGCCTCTCCTGATTGGGACTGATTAGGCACGAGCCCACAGCAGGCACAGTGGGGCCTGGATAAGCAGGAGCGGCAGGTAGGAGCTGCACGTGGCATTGGACTGCAGATTTCGGCCTGATCCCCACAGGCCACCCAGAGGGACCCCACCTGTGCACTAATTTGTGCACCAGGCCTCTAGTTTATTAATAAGATAGATTAATTCAGTGTTACCTTTCCCTTTTTTTGTCTCCCCTTTTCACCATAATATCACAAGTTTCTGCTGCAGAATCCAGACAAGAAAGAAAGTCTTCTATGCTCTGAAAGGGTGTTAAATACCACAATTAACTTTATAATACAAAGTTGCCTAAAGAAAATACAGTCATTTAATGCTGTTTTATAATTTTACACCCTAAATACAATTTTTAATAAAGGTTATTTTGTCATTAAATGTGAAATTGTGATTTAGCACTTTAAAGAGGGTAAATCGCCCCTAGCTTGGTCTTGCCCTTCACCTCCCAAAAACGTATCTGAATGCAGAATACTAGTTTCAGACTTAATTCAACATTATTTTTTATAAAAATCTACTCAAAGATCACAAATGCTAGCTCCAATATATATCTAAATAGAATCAAACTTTACTTACCTTTTCATTCAAGGAGCTATGGAGTTTTGTGAGGACTAATTTAGTTTCTTCTGATAATTTACTCAAAATTTTTTTTCTTACCTATGGGGAGAAAATTATTTCGGCATTGTGTTTTTGAAAGGTGGTAGATATAAGATCAAACAAAAAGAAAAAAAAAATACATTTATTACTATACAGAATGTTGAAAGGAATTTATCTTTGTTCTCGAATTTTTTAGCTCAAACGAGGAATAATAATATGCTAAAAACATTCTCAAATCAGAGAGCTAGCCAATAGTGTCAGCCAAAGAGAATAGCTACAGCCTTACTCCTCCCATCTGTCAAGCAGTATAAGAGAAAGGAGAGAAAGATACTCTCTTCAGAATTAGTGTAAATATTGAAATAAGTGGTGTCCCTAAATGAAAATGATTGCAAAGTTATGGAATCTAATATGAACATTATTATTAAGAAACTTGTAACTCAGCAGGAAAAAGGGATGTGACATAACAATAACTAGGAAAAAATAAAACCACTGGTTCCCAAGCAATTCAGCAGCATTACTTTTAATAGACTGGTTATATTGCCAATCCTGAACTGTATATACACTGTACTGAACTTGACCTAAAAACCTCATCAATATTTTTTCTAAAATTTTTTTCTGTATTTTATTATCTTTTTAAACTATTTCAGATATGAGACAATAAAATATGCTCAGATTGCAAAACAAAACACATCAAGAGTGGCAAGAAAGC